CGCATCCCGGTGCCGGGGTGAGGAGCTAATAGATATAACACGAATTTTTGCGTATCATCCAGAAAATCCCCTCGCCGGGCTTAATTCTATTTGCTCAAAACACACCGCGATCACTTAACAAATATTAAATTATAATAATAAGGCCCCAGCGCTAACGATGCTGGGCCAGAGTGTCCCCTTTTCCGGCGGCATCGGGAGCTTCGAACCGGCTTAAAACTCCTTTTTGGAGTTGGCATCTGCCAAACTGCAGGGAAAAACCACGCTCAAAGGAAAATAAATCATTTTACTTCATAATAAGCACCAAATTTGGGATGGCAGGCAGCAGGTCGCGTAAGAAAAGCTAAACGGTAATAAACGGATTATGAATTAAAAAGGGGGCGCGGGTAATCCCCTGCGCGAAGAACGATTCCCATCATTAAACTCGAGTTTCCGAAGGCGAAACAGAAGAGGGAATTCATCCCGCGCCGCCAGAAAAACATGGAGTTACTGGAACTAATTTGTTGGCGACGGCAATAAATCCACTCCACGCCATGCGACGCGCCTGCAGGTTTTCACCACGCACTGCGTGCACGGGATTTTGTGAGTGCCATGATGTGTTTGTAGGGTTCTTGCCATGCGACGTGACGCGATTGAAGGTTTTTGCGACGCGCCTGCAGTTTTTTGCGACGCAATGCGATGTGTTTGTAGGTTTTTCTGACGCAATGCCGTGTGTTTCAAGGTTTTTGCGACGCAGTGCCATGTGTACGTAGGGTTTTGCGATGCAATGCGATGAGTTTGTGGGTTTTTACGATACAATGGGATGTGCCTGCAGGTTTTTGTGACGTAATGCGATGTGTTTGTAGGTTTTTGGTATGCAATGTGATGGTTTTGTATTTTTGCGATGCAACGTGATGAGTTTGTGGGTTTTCGCGACGCAATGCGATGTGCCTGCAGGTTTTCGCATGTAATGCGACACGTTCGTAGGTTTTTGTGATACAACGCGATGTTTTTGCAATGTTTGCGATGCGACGCGATGCATTTGTAGGTTTTTGCCATGAGATGTGATGTCTTAGTGGGTTTTTGCAACGCAATGACATGTATTTAAAGGTTTTTGCGACTCAATGTGATGTGTGTAAAGGTTTTTTGCGATGCAATGCGATGCATTTGTAGGTTTTCACGATGCAATGTGATGTTTTTGCAATTTTTGCGATGCAATGCGATGAGTTTGTCGGTTTTCGCGATGCAATGCAATGTGCCTGCGGGTTTCTGTGACATAATGCCATGTGTTTGTGGGTTTTCGCGATACAATGCGATGTGCCTGCGGGTTTTCGCATGTAATGCGATGTGTTTGTAGGGGTTTGTGATGCAGTATGATCTGCTTGTAGGGTTTTGTGATACAGCGCGATGTTTTTGCAATTTTTGCAATGCGATGCGATGCATTTATAGGTTTTTGCTATGCGATGCGATGTCTTTGTAGGTTTTTGTGATCCAATGCGATGCGCTTGCCGGTTTTCGCATGCAATGCAGCGATGCAGTATGATATGCTTGTAGGTTTTTGTGATACAGTGCGATATTTTTGCAATTTGCACAATGCGCTGCGACGCATTTGTAGGTTTTTGCTATGTGATGCGATGTCTTTGTAGGTTTTCGTGACGCAATGCGATGTGCCTGCAGGTTTTTGCAACGTAATGTGATGGTTTTGCAATTTTTGTGATGCGGTGCCATGTGTGCATAGGTTTTTGCGATGCAATGCGATCTGTTTGTAGGCATGTCTGCAGTTTTTGCGATGCAATGCCACGTGCTTGCAGGTTTTTGCCATAAAATGCCGTATTTTTGCAATTTATGCGATGCAATGCCACGCGTTTGAAGGATTTTGCAATGCAATGCGATGTTTTCGCAATTTTCACAACGCAATAAGATGCGTCTGTAGGTTTTTGCGAAGCAATGCGATGTCCCTGCAGGTTCTTGTGAGGCAATGCGATGTGTTTGTAGGGTTTTGTGACGCAGTACGATGTGTTTGTAGGTTTTTTGCGACGCCGAGCGATGGTTTTGCAATTTTCGCAATGCGATGTGATGTGATTGTAGGTTTTTGCGATACAACGGGATGCGCCTGCAGGTTTTTGTGATGTAATGCAATGTTTTTGTAGGTTTTTGGCATGCAATGTGATGTGTTTGCGATGCAATGTGATGTGTTTGAAGGTTTTTGCAATGCGATGTCATGTGTGTGTAGGTTTTCGCGCTAAAATGCGACGTTTTTGCCATTTTCGCGATGATGCAATGTGTTTGTAGGTTTTTGCCATGCAGTGGGATGTGCCTGCAGGGTTTTGTGATGTAATGCCATGTGTTTGTAGGCTTTGGCGATGCAATGTGATGTTTTTGCAATTTTTGCCACGCAACGCCATGTGTTTGAAGGTTTCCGTGATGCAATGCGATGTGGTTTTAGGTTTTTGCGATGCAATGAGATGTTCTTGCAATTTTTGCCACGCAACGCCATGTGATTGAAGGTTGTCGTGGTGGGATGCCACGCGGCCGCAGGCTTGGCGATGCGACGCCACGTGTTTGCGGCTTTTGGCGATGCAACGCCGCGTGTTTGCGGGTTTTTACGCTGCCATACGGCTGCTTAAAGCTTTTGCAACGCAACGCCACGCAACGCGCTCGCAGGTTTTGGGATGCCACGTGCTTGTTTGACACTCTGGCCATGCGGTGCCGTGTGTTTGCGCGTTTCCCAGGCGTGCCGCCTGCCGTTTTCCCACGGCAATGCCCTTGCTGGGTTTGCGACGCAACTCTGCGACGCGCTGCGCGCTTGCGCTTTCGCAGTTTTCTGCTGCGATGCACATTTTGTGCATTTTTTTGCCAACTCGAAGCCGCAAAACTCCAGGCGACAAAGACAACGCGGCACCCTGTTGTTACCACAAATAACTATTTCCGCTCTCTTTTTGCCCCAAATAGGGGATTTCTGTACAATTTAACTTCTCTAGAGCATCCACGCCACGATTCTGTTGCATTTTGAGAGGAAAAAGCTCAGGTTTGGGGCATTTTTGGATGTTAGTTGGATGCTCCGTCGGGCGCAGAAGCAACTGCAGGAATTTATGTACCCAGGCAACGCTTTTTCTTTTACAGCAATATTCTCTCGCAAAAAAAAATCCCATAAATTGAAGGAGAAATGAGCCTCTGTGCCCAAAAAAGGTGGTTTTCACCCCAAATTCCTAGCTGGGAGAGGAGACCTGGCTGCTTGCGTGTGTCTGCAAAAAGGAAAAGCAAGGAAAAGCAAAAGAAAAGCAAGCCAAAAAAAAGGAAGGAAAAGCAAAAAAAAAGGGAAGGGAAAGCCAAAAAAATGGCAAGGGAGAGCAATAAAAGCAAGGAAAAGAAAAAAAAAAGCAAGGAAAAACAAAAAATAAAGGAAGAAAAAGCAAAAAAAAAAAGGGAATGAAAAGCAAAAAAAAAGGAACGAAAAGCAAAAAAAAAGGAACGAAAAGCAAAAAAGCAAGCAAAAAAGCAAGGAAAAGCGAAAAAAAGGCGAGTAAAAAGCAAGCTTGTCAGAGCAGTTTGGGGAAAAAAAGGTTGAAATCAGCTTCGCGGAGCCGCTTTGCCCATAATCCCTCGCTGTCCCCCAGCGGCTTGTGCAAACAGCATCGGAACGGCGAGCGGCCGGGCTCCGGCCACGCTCCTCCCAGCTGGGATTTTAATTTTAACCAAATAAATTCGACGACGGGCGCGGGGCAGGCGAGAGTTCCCTGTTCTGGAGGGGAATGCGCATTTTGGGGATGCCGAGAGGTGGATTTAGGGCGGATCTGTTGCTCCCCCGTCTCTAAAACCATCCTTTTCCCGGGAGCACAGGAAGGGAAAACTCCCATTTTCGAAGCCGAACCGAGCGTTGCGAATGGATTGTATATGGAATATGGTATATTCCGAATTAATTTGCCTTCTTTTTAGTACTGCGGCCAGAAAAATCAAGGTCTGGGTATGGCAGAGAGAGGGGAGAGGCCACAACGTCGCCAAATTCTGCTATATATTATGTGTTATGTATTTTATGTCATATATCAGCTATTACATTTTTATATTATCTATTATGTAAAGGAATAATATATATTTATTATTATTCCTATCATATATTATGTATCAATCCCATATATTATATATATATGATGTGCCATGCTATATATTATAAAATATAGGAGCATTAAATTATTTATTTTCTATTATTCCCATATATGGTAATATATAGGATATGATAGCAATAATATAGAATATATTAAGCATTATTCCAATATATCTATATTCTGTTATTCCCATACGTTATATGATATGGATGGGATGGGATGGGATGGGGTGGGATGGGGATGGGGATGGGGATGGGGATGGGATGGGATGGGATGGGATGGGGATGGGGATGGGGATGGGGATGGGATGGGATGGGATGGGATGGGGATGGGGATGGGGATGGGGATGGGATGGGATGGGATGGGATGGGGATGGGGATGGGGATGGGGATGGGATGGGATGGGATGGGATGGGGATGGGGATGGGGATGGGGATGGGATGGGATGGGATGGGATGGGGATGGGGATGGGGATGGGGATGGGATGGGATGGGATGGGATGGGGATGGGGATGGGGATGGGGATGGGATGGGATGGGATGGGATGGGGATGGGGATGGGGATGGGGATGGGATGGGATGGGATGGGATGGGGATGGGGATGGGGATGGGGATGGGATGGGATGGGATGGGATGGGGATGGGGATGGGGATGGGGATGGGATGGGATGGGATGGGATGGGGATGGGGATGGGGATGGGGATGGGATGGGATGATATAATATGATATGATATGATATGATATGATATGAATGGGAGAAATAAATAATACCTGTTATTCCCATATATATATTATAATGGAAATAATACATAATATATTACATATTTTAATATCCGTATCATATAGATGTATTTTTATCTAGGTGAGCTTCGCTATTTTTCTTGGGTATTTGCGGGGGAAAAAGGTCTTTTCGCAGCGGTACCCGATGACAGACGGCGCCAGCAAACCGGGAGCCACGGGGTTACTGCGGGATGGGGGCAAAGCGCCGCAGAAAGTGGATTTGGGGGGAATACGACCCTTGAACGACAGGCGAAGGATGATGCTGACGGCCGTTTGCAACCCCCGGCACCAAAACCACCTCTTTTCCCCCCCAAAAAAACTCAGTACATCATTCCAGGTATGCTTTCTGCGCTTCAAAATATGCTCAGATGGCAAAACAAGAAAAAAGATTTCCCTTCTTGAGCAGCAGCCTCGTGAAAAGGAGCCGAAATTCGGTCCCTTTTCCCACCCCGTGTTTTTACCTGGACCTGTTTTCTCAGCCCTTCCCTAATAAAAAACAAGCCAATAAAACAAAGATGAAAATACATTCATTAGGATTGATAACGCTCATTAAAACGGGGCTGTGTAGGAAAGCGCGGCTCCGCTCCGGCGAAGTAAAGGGGAAAAATGCAAATTCTTCTGCGTGAAAAGAGGATATTTCCCTAATCGCCCCAATCAAACGCCGGCGCAATTATCTGTGGCCAACCCAACGGGTTAAAATTATCCTCTTCATCTCCGGACACAGTGAGGAGCCGAAAAAAAAAAAAAATAAAAAAAAAAAGTGTTTCATTTTAATAAAAATGAAATCCGGACCCTGCAGAAACCGGCTTCGCTAATGACGTGTTTACATAGAAAAAGACAATTTCTATTTAATGGTGATTACCAGCGAGAAGAAATTAAACGTCCTGGAGTAGATGGGTTGGGGAGAACGGGGGGAGAAGAAAGTTACGGAGGGGGCGTAAATCAGGAGAGCTGCGGGAGAGCACGCGCCAAAAACCGCAGCGATTCCGCTCCCGGGACGCGAACCCGCACACGTGCACGGGCGCTCAAGGGCGCGCACGCCAACGCACACGCCGACGTGCAAAGACGCACGGGCGCGGAGGGGAGCGTGCGAACGGGCAAAGGCAACGGCAACGTGCACAGGCGAACGCGCAGATGCACACGGACACGCAAACGCGCGTGCAAATGTGAACACGCGCACAGGCATGCGGCGCACACGGCCGTGCAAACACGCAGACGGACGCATGCACACGCATGTGCAGATGCACATGGAAACATGCGTGTGCATACGCAAGCATGCAACATGCCAACGCACGCACACACGCGCGCCTGCAGGTGCCAACACGCAAATGTACATGTAAACGCCCACGCGAACATGCATACGCACACGCAAACATGTATATGCGCATGCAAACATGTATATGCCCACGCAAACATATATGGGCCCACAAAACACGTATATGTGCATGTAAATATGTATATGCCCACGCAAACATGTATACGCGCATGCAAACGTGTCTATGCCCCCGCAAACACGTATATGCGCGTGGAAACATATATGCGCATGCAAACATATATATGCCCACACAGGCATGTATATGCGCATGCAAAGACGTATATGCCCACGCAAACATGTATATGTCCATGCAAAGACGTATATGTCCACGCAAACATGTATACGCCAACACAAAGATGTATATGTCCATGCAAGCGTATATGCCCACGCAAACATGTATATGCCAACACAAAGATGTATATGCCCATGCAAGCGTATATGCCCACGCAAACATGTATATGCCCACGCAAACACATATATGCACACGCAAACATGTATACGTGCATGCAAACACGTATATGCCCACGCAAACATGTATATGCGCACGCAAACATGTATATGTCCACGCAAACATGTATATGTGCATGCAAACATGTATATGTGCACGCAAACATGTATATGTGCATGCAAACATGTATATGTCCACGCAAACATGTATATGTGCATGCAAACATGTATATGTGCACGCAAACATGTATACGTGCATGCAAACGTGTATATGTCCACGGAAACATACATATGTCCACACAAACATGTATATGCACACGCAAACATGTATATGCACACGCAAACACATATACGCCCACGCAAACACGTAGATGCCCACACAAGGAGGCAAATGGACATGCAAACGCGAGCACGCACACGTGCCCACACGCAAAGGCGAACACGCTAAGGCGCACGCACACGGGCGCAGAGGCGGCGACAGGCAGAGCCGTCCCGGTGGCGCCGCGTCTCCCTTTTTCCGGCAGGCTGAGCGCGCCGCGTCCCGCCAGCGACGCTCCCGCACCTCCGCCGTGAATTCTTTTGCTCCCGCGACGGGCGAAAAAAAGTGCAAAATAGGGTCTGATCGCAAAAAAATCCAAGTTTTTGGGCTCGCCGGGTTATCCGTGCTATATCCTCCCTATTCATTTTTATTATTATTATTTTTATTTTCCCCCCAGCGTGAAAATTATTACTTTTTTCTCCCCCCCCCAAAAAGCCAAGGCAAGACGAGGTCTTGTTGCAAGAGGACGAAATAATTTTGGGGGTTGGTCTCCGCGCCAAGGCGGTTCCCGTCCCCCGCCGACCTGCGCAAACCCATCCCGGGGCCAAAGCGTTTCGCCGTCGGGCTTTAACGCGTCTGCTCCTTTCGAAAGCGGAGCAAACATCTGCAGAACAAGCCCAGATGTGCGCCGGAGCCCCGTATTCTCCCTTCCCCAAATTGAGGAATTTCAGCTCCGAGGCACATAATAAGGCAGCGTCTGGGATGGTTTAATAATAGTAAAATTCAAATTGTTACCGAAGCGTAATGAAGAACGCGCTTGGAAGGAGGTCTGCGGAAAAAAATGAATAAATAAAATAAAAAAAAAAAAATAAAAAAAGAGCCGAAATCTCCAGGGAACTGTTGGTTCAGAGGAACGGTAAACAACGCGCAGAAAGGCAACTTAATTATCTTTACAAGCGGAGTTTACCAGCGGCCGCCGGGAAAAATTACCGAGAGAAATGGCAACAGGCAATAAAAAAAAAAAAAAAAAAAAGCCTAAATTCATCTTTTTTTACCCCATAATCTACAAACTCCACGTACGTACGGCCCGAGCTTCTTCGGAAGCAGGAGCCCCTTCGCTTCGGTTTTTCGCCAGCTAAAGCTGAAACATCCAGGCCAAACCAGACCAAAAGCAGGCAGATGCCACGCCGCGGCGGATTTGGGAAGGGAAAGCGCTCGGTTTTCGCAAGGGCTTGGTTTGTGCAAGAGCTGCACAGCGAAAACATATCTTTATATATATATTATTTTTTTTTCTATATTGGCATATATAAGCTGGAAAAGGTGTGAAATTTAAACCGAGGATGCTGGTGAAGAGCAAAGCAAGGACCAAGGCAAGGATGATGGGTTGGATTAAACCAGGGATAGAATCACAAAATGGTTTGGGTTGGAAGGGGCCTTGAAGATGATCTCGTTCCACCCCCCTGCCCTGGGCAGGGACACCTCCCACCAGCCCAGGTTGCCCCAAGCCCCGTCCAACCTGGCCTTGAACACCTCCAGGGATGGGGCAGCCACAGCTTCTCGGGGCAACCTGCCCCAGGGGCTCACCACCCGCACAGTCAACAATTTCTTCCCAATATCTCATCTAAATCTCCCATCTTTCAGTTTAGAACTCTTCCACCTTGTCCCATCACTACATGCCCTTGTAAAAAGTCCTTCTCCACCTTGTAGGCCCCTTTAGGCACTGGAAGGGGCTCTGAGGTCTCCCCTTTTTCGCCTTCTCTTCTCCAGGCTGAACCCCCCCAACTCTCCCAGCCTGTCCTCCCAGCAGAGGGGCTCCAGCCCTCCCAGCATCTCCGGGGCCTCCTCTGGCCCCGCTCCAACAGCTCCGTGTCCTTCTGCTGTTGGAACCCCCCGAGCTGGAGGCAGCACTGCAGGGGCGTCTCCCCAGAGGGGAGCAGAGGGGCACAATCCCCCCCTCGCCCTGCTGGCCACGCTGCTGGGGATGCAGCCCGGGATGCGCGTGGCCTTCTAGGCTGCGATCATTGCCAGCTCACAGTGAGCTTCTCATCCACTGAATATTGGAGAGGACCAAAGCAAGGATTTCTTCACGGAAAGGGTTGTCAAGCACTGGAACAGGCTGCCCAGGGAAGTGGTGGAATCGCCATCCCTGGAGGTATTTAAAAGATGGGCAGATGTGGTGCTGAGGGAGATGGGTTAGTGGTGGACCTGGCAGTGTTAGGTTAACGGTTGGACTAGATGATCTTGATGGTCCCTTCCAGACTAGACGATTCTATGATTCTGTGATTCTAAGGATGCTGGCTAGGATCAAGCCAGCGATGCTGGACAGGATTGAACCCAGGACAGTAAACTCAAACAGAAGATGCTGGTTAGGGCTGAAGAAAAGATCATAGAATCACAGAATAGTTTAGGTTGGAAAGGACCTTGAAGATCATCCAGTTCCAACCCCCCTGCCATGGGCATGGACACCTCCCACCAGCCCAGGTTGCCCAAGGCCACGTCCAACCTGGCCTTGAACACCTCCAGGGATGGGGCCTCAACAACCTCTCTGGGCAACCTGTTCCAGTGCCTCACCACCCTCAAAGGGAAAAACTTCTTCCTAATGTTTAATCTAAACCTGCTCTCTTCCAGTTTGAAGCCATTCCCCCTCGTCCTGTCACTCCATGCCCCAGTAAAAAGTCCCTCCCCAGCTCTCCTGGAGTCCCTTTAGGCACTGGAAGGCCGCAATAAGATCTCCCCGGAGCCTTCTCTTCTCCAGGCTGAACACCCCCAACTCTCTCAGCCTCTCCTCATAGGAGAGGTGCTCCAGCCCTCAGATCATTCTCCTGGCCCTCCTCTGGACACGCTCCAGCAGGTCCATGTCCTTCTTATGTTGGGGACTCCAGAGCTGGATGCAGTACTCCAGGTGGGGTCTCACCAGAGTGGAGCAGAGGGGCAGAATCACCTCCTTTGACCTGCTGGCCACACTTCTTTTGATGCAGCCCAGGATACAGTTGGCCTTCTGGGCTGCGATTGCACATTGCTGGCTCACGGTGAGCAAAGATGCTCCGTAGAACTGAATGAAGGACGTTAACTAAAACCAAAGCCGGGATGGTGGGTAGGACCAAAGCCGGGATGGTGGGTAGGATTAACTCAGGGACACTGGAATCAGGCTGTGGGGGTGAGCGGTCATCAAACCAAGGCTGCTCGCCAAATACGGCCCAAGGATGGTCGCGAGGGTCAAAGCAAGGATGCCAGCTAAGACCGCACCAAGGACGCTACCTAGGAGCAAGCTGAAAACAACAGCTAGGATTGACGGGAGCTGGAATCAAACCAACAA